CTATTATCATGATGATAATTTCTTCCTACTTTTTCTTATCAAATCCTCTCTTCTGGAAATAATCTGGTTATGAGGTATAAATAACTGATGATAATGTTAGGTCTGACTTAAATAGGCCCAGAAAGCCCAAGTGGGAGGATGTAGTTGAAGAGAAGTCTTCCAGACATCTCACCACCTGGGCATTAGGTGTAAACCTGACCCGTGCTGTGTAGACAAGGCTCACTCTTGCCTCAGAGACTAGAAGCCACAGGGATCCAGAGTGACAGCTCAGAGACAGCTCAGCCCAGTTCCGGTGTGAGGAATGGGTGAGGGGCAAGAGCTGAGGCTGTTTCTTGTTTGCTTTCTGCTTTGATTTTGGAAGTGTTCTTTAAAGGTGGTCTGTTAAAGGTTGGATCTGTGGTTATTGAAAATCAGAGCGAAGTGGGCCCAGCCTGGCCTAGGCTTGAGATAAAACAATTAGGAACTGTAAAAAGACTCACTGTTTCCTCAGAAGCAGAAATAGCTGCAGCGTTGACTGCAAGCCTGCTGGCTTGGTGGACCTTTGCAACGAATGCTGTAATTTTAGCTGCTTACACACAATGTCATGTGACATGAGATTAGGAAGTTTTTGACCCCACAGGCAGCCTGTACTGCTTGTCCAGCAAGGGCCGCTGAGGAAAGGTGTGGTGTTCAAAGACTTGTCCAGACCTTGGCCTGGAGCCAGTGGCCAGTGATGTAAGTAGATGACCAGGCAGCTCTCTTAACTTTCAATCAGCAGGGATTTTACTTCTCCAGTTAGACTATGGACATATCAGCGCATTTATTTGGATGCTTTGAAGGAGGCATTCAATTGATTTAGAATTAATAGAGGGATTTTTATCTAACTTAAAAGCATGATATTATTTAATTATAAAATATATTACATGTGTCACTTGTTAAGTAAAAACTGAATTTGCCTTTTTATTGATTTTTTAAAAGTGTGTTTCACCTCGTAAGAATGTAGACATAAAGTAGTTGCATTCTTCTGTATCATTGGTAATTAACTTTTATTTCTTAAACTAACAAGTATATATGTTTCAGGCTGTCCTCTGGGGTGACTAAGAAGTCATATTAGATTTATACTCCTTGACTGTTCTGTTGACAGAGGTTTTCTGTTTCTTCTCTGCTGACTTCAGGGTCGAGTTTGGCCTTCCTTTCTTTTCTTCTGCTTTCTGGTTAAGATTGTTTGGCTGTTGCAACAACCAGAAAAACAGACAGCTGACAGAAGCAATTGACTTAAGTCAACAACAGAAATTATTTTGGTTCCTGAGTGATATTTTCTGACACTACGTCTAACACAAAACGTATGGTTCCCAACACCAGTCAGTTCTCTGACACCAACTGAGTGCCCAACAGTTCAATTCAGTTCTGACGTTACTTCCTGGAGTTAGCACGGACCCTGTAGGTTAAAGGCTCAGTCCCGCAGACTGCCCCCACCTCGGATGCCAGCCAGGCAGCGCATCTGCTGCTTGTCCCCAGGTGATCCACACTTGTGTCTGGCTGACTGCGAATTCCAGGGTTCCCACGATCCCCCCTCGGGTTTGATAATTAGCTAGAACTACTCAAAGAACTCAGGAAAACACTTTACTTATGTTTACTGGTTTATTATAAGGGATACAACTCAGGAATGGCCAAATATTTCATAGAAGAGATACGTAGGCCAAGGTATGGGGAGCGGCGCTGCAGAGCTTCCGCCGCCCCTCTGTGCTCGCGGCCCTCCCAGTGCAACATGTTCACTGACCTGGAAGCACTTTGGCTCCGTGTTCAAGAGTTTTTCTAGAACTTGGTCTTCAGGCTTCTCCCCTCCTGGAGATCAGGTGTGGAGCTGAAAATTCCAGCCTTCTAATCACAATCACGTGTTTGGTCTTTCTGGTGACCAGCTCCCATCCTGATCTATCTAGGGGTCCCACCCTTGGTCACCTCATTAACACAAACTCAGGGGCTCGTTCTGAACAACAAAAGTTACTCCTATCACTCAGAAAATTCCAAAGGTTTTAGGAGTTCTGCGATAGGAACCAGAATAAGGACCAAATATAGTTTTTATTATGCCACAGTTCCAAAGTGGTATTTTAAAAACTTATGCTTATTCATCATTGCCCTGGGGTGCTTCTAGTCTTTGACTCTAGACTGCTTTCTCCACACACGGCGTTAGATTATGGTTCTAGGTTTGCTGATCTGGAAGTTTAGATGATGTTACACTGTTAGATGGAGAGAGTTACTGAGATTTTTGGGAGTTTCGAAACTTGGGACATTTGCCCTAGAACATTCTTTTGTATTTTTGGAATTGTTGTTTATAGTTGGAAAGTGAAATTTGACAGCAAAGGCCATGATATTCTGCTTCATGGTTGTTATTAATGATGTGGATGAAACCAGTTCAGAGGACATTGCGTTTATAAATACTGAATCCAGAAACAGGCTACGAGTCACTGCTGAAATAAGACAGAAGCAGCCTTCTTGGCTGAGTGGGGAAATATTTGTCTTAACTTTCAAGAGAAGAACCACAGTGTGTTAGGCTGGAAGGGAGCTAGGAGGTCAAATGACCTCAGATTGAGTGGCTGGAAAAAAGAAACTTAGCCAGGCCTCCTCCACCCATGGGGCTAAGATACAGTGTCAGGACCGTGAAAACATGGTGTCCTTTTTCTGGGAAGTTGTGGGAAATATATTTGCTTTTTGTTTTCCATTTAACATTATCACACAAGCATTGTTTTGTCGTTGTTGATACACAGTTATTCTAAAGATCACAGATGGTATAGTGTAGAGGTCTAAAGTAGAGGCCTGGGTTCAAATCACAGGGCAGCACTTATGGGTTGTATGACCTTGAGAGAGTCACTTAACTGCTACCTGCCTCCGTTTTACCATCTGTAAAAGGGGATGATAACGGTGGGCAACTCACAAGTTAAATGCTCATGTAAAGGACTTAGTATTTGTTAGTTACTACCATCAAAATGAAGATTTTATTAACATTAATATGTATATAGTAAAAATTTTTATAAAATACAGAAAAGCAGAAGAAATCAGAATCACTCATTATTCTAAAACCCAGAGAAAACCACTTACCCAGTGCTAAGATAGATTTTGGCTGTCTTTTTTTTTTTTCCTCCAATGCATTTTCTCTTACATAGTTGAGATAATATTGCATTTCCAATTTGTATCCTCATCATAACATAAGCATTTTATTTATATATTATTTGTAAACATAATTTTAAAAGACCACCTAAGTCATTTTGTGTACCATATTTTACTTATCCTTTCCCCAGTGTTCTGACATTCAGACTGCTCTCTGCCCCCATATTAAATTGGAGACCTGAGCCTTCCCTGGCTGGTACGGAGCTTGTAGTTGTTTTTTTCTGTCCCTAGGACATAATCAGCACTAGTCCACAAATCAGTTAACAGAAGGTTGACATATTATGGGTCAGTTTGTGAGAAATATCTTTGTAATAGTGTTTCTTCTTCAGTATTAGAGGTTATCTCCTTGGACTAGATTCTCAGAAATGGAAATACAGGGCCCAAGGATGATAAGTGTTATTTTCTAGAAGGGTTGCATTGATTTTAGACTTGGCAGCAACAATGTATGAGCCTGCCCTCCTTACTGGGGGCCTCCGAATCCCCTCCCTCCAGCTCTGGGTTGCTTCTCAGATATGAAATAGTGAGGAAATTGTCAGTGGTGCCAAAACTCTGAAATAGAGTTAATCTTAATTAAAATTAGCACCCCTGGCTCCTCCTTCCCACTGCCCATCATTTTTCCCATCCAGGGCCTGCCCTTCTTTCTTTCCTAGCCCCCCTCCCCTCTCAGCCTTCTCTAATCCTCTCAGCAGCCTTCCTTTTCTCCAGTGGGGGAGGAGGGTGTGGGGGGAAATGACATAATTAAATTGTTCCATTAAGATGTTAGTGACCTTAGCAGCTAGAAGCGTTATTCCCTGGCTGGGCATTTGCATGTTAATAAGGGTTCTTGGAGCGGTGTTGAACCTGAAGGACTGAACTTGGTGGTAGAACCTGGGGCACTGTAATACCCAGGAGGGAGAGATCCTCAGTGTGGCCCTTAAAGTTATACAGGTGGGTGGGGGCCTAGAGGTCAGGCCAATTCTATGCATGGGGGAAGCAAAGGCCAGTCTCTGAGAAGCCTTTGTTTCCTCTCTGCCAAAGCACGAGCTGCTCAGCTTAGAAACATGTTTTCCTAAATGTAAAAGTGCGTCTCTCAGAGGAACTACTGAGGAGAAATTGTTTGCCGAATTGGCTATAATAAAAGGCTGGTCAGCAGCAAGTGCAGATTCTTTACGTAAAATATAACCTTATGATACCAGGCAGGGCTCCTTTTATGGCTTTTTTAAATCACCTGGTTGAAATTGCTGAAGGGGTGGAGGGCCTTTGCCTGCGTGATTTGATTAAATTGTACGTCCCTGGGTAAGCGGAGCCAGGAGGGCTCTGAGTGGGGGCCGAGGCCCTGACTGCCACAGTCAGAACCCTGAGTGGCAGAAGGTGGGTCTCTTGCCGGACTATTTCTGCTTCAGCAAAGTCTCGGGTGCCCTTGACCTCAAGGAATGTTACGGGTCTCTATCTGGACTCATACGTCAGTTTCAATGGACTGAGAAGCCAAAGAAAGCGTTGAGGAGCATGCCTGAGAGGAGAATGGGTCACAGCTGGATACAGCCGGATGGTGCCCTGGGTCTTACGGATGGATGAGGATGGGTACAGACGAGTTATTAGGAAAGATTCAAGGGTGGGGGATACCTGGTTCAGAAAAAGTCCTTAATGGCCTGATGGTAGGAGAATGGAGAGAGACGGAAAACCTAGCCGGTTGTTAGCTGCTAATCGAGTGCTCCCAGGATACCTGGGGACCACAGTCAGAGGAAAGCGGTCTTGAGAGATGGTGGGGACCAGCTGGAGTGGATCACATGTCAGCTTCCCCTTCCTCTCCAAAAGACAATGCCTTGGTCCCATGGTGGTCTCTGCCTTGGCACTCAGCCCTGTCTGTTCCCTTCTAGCCTGATCCCACCTGAAGATGTCTTCGCTGGTCACCTTGGTGTCTGGGTCCCGTGCCCGGCTCTTTGCCTGCCTCCTCAGGCTGGGCTCTCAGCAGGCCGGCCCCCTTCAGCTGCACACGGGGGCCAGCTGCGCAGCCAAGAACCACTACGAGGTGCTGGTGCTGGGCGGGGGCAGCGGTGGGATCAGCATGGCCGCCCGCATGAAGAGGAAGGTGGGTGCAGAGAACGTGGCTATTGTTGAGCCCAGCGAGGTAAGTCTCCCCTTTTGAGTGCCTGAGTGTGTGCACATGTGTGTGTGTGTGTGTGTGTGTGTGTGTGTGTGTGTGTAAGGGGTGGGGTAGGCATGGCTGTCAGGCACCAGGCCTTCATGTCTCCAAGTGCTTCTCCTGGGCATAAGAAGCTGCCCATCCCAAAGGACTGGGGGAAAGTGGAGGGAAAGAGGGCCAGAGGGAGGACAGATCTCTCTGTTTTTTGTGTTCTCCTTTGTATTGGTTTCTTAGGGCTGCCATAACAAATTACTACAAATTGGGTGGCTTAAAACAGCAGACATTTATTCTCTCACAGTTCCCTCGCCTCTCTGCTAGCTTCTGGTGGTTGCCCACAATTCTTGCCACTTCTTGGCTTGCAGCTGAGTTGTTCTATCTTCACTTGGTGTTCTCTGTGCGTCTCAGTGTCCCTGTGTCTTCATGTGACCTTTTTTCTTTTTTTTCCTTTGAGACAGAGTCTCACTCTCTTGCCCGGGCCAGAGTGTGCCGTGGTGTCATCCTAGCTCACAGCAACCTCCAACTCCTGGGCTCGAGTGCTCCTCCTGCCTCAGCCTCCCAAGTAGCTGGGACTACAGGCATGCGCCACCATGCCCGGCTGATTTTTATATATATATATTTTTTGTTGTTTGGCTAATTTATTTCTATTTTTAGTAGAGACGGGGCGTCATCCTAGCTCACAGCAACCTCAAACTCCTGGGCTCAAGCAATCCTCCTGCCTCAGCCTCCCGAGTAGCTGGGACTACAGGCATGCGCCCCCATGCCCGGCTGATTTTTTCTATATATTTTTAATTGTCCAGCTAATTTCTTTCTATTTTTTTTTTTTTGTAGTAGAGGAGGGGGTCTCGCTCTTGCTCAGGCTGGTCTCGAACTCCTGAGCTCAAACAATCCACCCGCCTCGGCCTCCCAGAGTGCTAGGATTACAGGCGTGAGCCACCGCGCCCGGCCCACGTGACCTTCTTATAAGGATACCAGGCATTGTATTTAGAGCATACTCTATTCAAGAATGACCTCATGTTCATTTTATTGCATCTGCAAAAACCCTATTTCCAAATAAGGTCACATACATACGTACTGGGATTAGAACTTCAACCCACAATTCAACCCATGACACTATGCCACCCCCATTCTCCTACCTGGAGGAAAACCAGTGGCCATTGCACTTTTCCTGTCTGTTCTAGTCTGGGGAAAGGACGATGAGTTGGATGGCTGAGAGGCCTCTGGAAAGCTGTCAGTGGGCTTGAGAAATTTAAGTGCAAGGGGATTATAAACAGATTATAAGGGAGAAAAGGTAGCTGACACTAGGAGGGAAGACTAAGTTTCATGAAAAACATTTTAAAATTGTCCAAAAGCTTCAGAAAAATATTCAATATTTTTGGTGGTTTGCCTAAGGTTTCCCATGGAACTAGTCATGCATCAGTTGGGAGCTGTATCCTTGGGAGGGAGAAGCAAATGGATCCGATGCCTATTTTGGGGGGAGGGTAGGACAAGAAAGGCAGACTCCTCTCCAAGATGTCTCCCCAGTAGAGGATGTTGCTACCCAGGGCTGTGGTCTGAGAGGAGACTAGGGGGCGCTGTCTGTCACTTTCCTTTTTAAAGTGGTGTCTCTTCAATTGAGGGACACCACTTTAAATGATGGTGGTCAGAGAGCTGTACCAGGTGGCCATTCTTTCCGGTGTATGTTGTACTGTAGCTAACCTGTGGGCAGGTCTCCCAGTTGGGCTTCTCTTTATAATGAGACTGGCTCTTCTGGGGACTGGGCACAGTTCAAGAGGCCAGAATCAAGTCTGTCCTGCCTTGAGAGGAAGCACAGGGCAGGAGTGTCTCAAAGGAGCTGCCAGTGGCTCAGGCTTTTGGTACTTTCCTGCTGAGTCTGGTTTAGTGGTAGCTGGAGGTGATGTTTGCAGTCTAAAAACCCGAGCTTGTATTTTTGTTTCTCTCCCTGTTCAAGATGGACTTGACATTGATGAGCTCTCACACCTGGAGACCTCTGCCCTCCTCCTATTTGTTCACATCCACTATTGGTTGTAGGGAGATTGCAAAGACATTTCTGGTGTCCTCTTCACCCTTCCATGGGTTTTGGCAGCTGTGGCCAGCCAGTTTTAGGCACTTTGGTGATATTGAGAGCTCCTGGTCTCCTGGTCCACTCCATGAGTGAACTGGAATTCTCAGAGGCCATTAAACCAGTCTGCCTCTTGCCCCTGAGTCTAGAACTTTCACAACTAACTTAGATCAAAAGTGAACCATTGGAAGCAAGAGAATTCCAGAAAATCATGAAAGTTCGGGCTTGTGTTGCATTGTGGGATAAAGGCTGGTGCCTACTAGCTTTGAGTGTAAAACCCCGGAGAAAGGAGAAGGGCTAATTGGGAGTGTCTGTGGTCCTCCATGGGCTTGGGAAACACAATCGGAAGTTAATGAAGTTTCGAGGATCCCCAGAAGTGGCTGTAAACTTTCCACACTTACCACTATCTCCACATACTGCTGAGGTACTGTATTTAGGGTGCCAGGCTTAATTTTTCTTTATATCTATGCACATAAAAGGTATCCATAATGTGTGTGTGTGCATGTGTATATAACATGTACATATTAAACACCAAATCAACTTTCAGCCATAAATAATAAGGTGGTCCCTAAAGACAGTTTATAGCTTTTTTGGATGATCTTGGAAGAATTCTTATGTTGAGTGACTGTCCTTCAGAGCTTAACATAATAGGAGACACCAACAAGGGGAAACTAACCTTTTGGAGACTTTTCTATGGGATGCTCTAAGGGTCAGGAGGGAGTAATTGAGAGAGTTTAGCTCATATACCTTGAGTTATAACCCCGTTGATCAGCCTCAAATCGGAATAAATCTCCAACTACTTTGTTTCCCAGAGACATTTTTATCAGCCAATCTGGACGCTGGTGGGTGCTGGTGCCAAACAGTTGTCCTCATCTGGTCGTCCCACAGCGAGTGTGATTCCATCTGGCGTGGAATGGATCAAAGCTAGAGTGGTTGAGCTGAACCCAGACAAAGACTGCATCCGCACAGACAATGGCAATGAGGTAACCAGAGGGGGCCTTTGGATTTTTTGTTAATCTGAGGGCTTGTATCAATGCACAGCCAATCTCAAACTGGACAGCTTCATGGTGAAAGAGTGGTATATATGCACGTGTGTGCCTGTATGAATGCATGTGTGTTGAGTACTGCATGAGATGGCAAGGTGTGTGGTAAATGGAGGATAGGTGGAGGGACTGAGGGATGTTGAATTAATAAACAACTAAGACAAGTATTTGTTGAACACTCACTGCATACCCTGTTGCTTAGAATAATATCTTGTATCTGAATGTTTATTGAACAAATGCTAATGCTACATGTTAAAATAGCGGGCCCTCCTTGCATCTCTTTCTTTGGAAGCAGCCAGCTTTTCTACCTGATACCTGGCTCCCAGAGCAATGGGATGCTGGAAAATATCCACCCCAGTAACACTGGGGGCATCATGCCAGAGCATAGAGAACAGAGGGCATGGATGGCAAACTGGACTATGTACCCCTCTCTGCCTGCTCACCTCTGTTCCAAGACATTACATCAAAAAATGGAAAGATGGCGCTGACCACACACATCTGGGGCCCGAGTCAGCCCTTGGGCTGCTGGTTTTTTGGGTCCTGGTCTAAAATAACATCTTTTTGTGTTGCAGATCTCCTACAAATATCTTATTATTGCTCTTGGAATCCAGGTGGACTATGAGAAGGTACTGTTTTCAACTGTTTCTGTGTTACATTGGCTTATTATGTCAAAATTAAACACTGCATTTAGTTGCTTTATATTCATTTTGCCAAGGAATGAAGTTCTAAGAAATCCTTTTCTAGTTTTATTTTTTAACAGTCCTTTTATGGTTTTTAAAAAAGCCTTCTCCAAGATTCTGTCAGTAGTAACGGTATGTTCTAGTTTTAAGCTTTAATCAGAGTTCAAGATGTCCATGCCCTAATGGTAATTCTTGCAAAACAGCAACCTTTTCTATCCTTATAAGAAACCTGCCTTTCTATGTGGGACTGAGTTGGCAGTATTAAAGATTACATTTTCTTTTGGAAGTAAGATTTAGATTATGAATTTTTAAGCAGACTTTAAGAGTAGAATACCAGCAGTTAGTTTATCAGATGCTGGAAGGACATCTGGTTTTGTTGTGTAAATGCTGGGTTTTTTTTGTGACTGAGGCAATGTAGATGCTACCCAGAAGTTCCTTAGATCTCCCTTTTCAGTGAGCTAGGGAGCCAGATGCTATCTGACGGCTGTGAGATTCACGTTTATTTTTCTAAAATGTAGTGGAGTAAGCCAGCAGTAATCATTTCCAGGAGCTTGTTGGGAACTGTGGATAAATATTTGGAGCACATGAAGCAGCAAGTGCTAACCAGGTCATAAGCTGTAGGAATGTGATCTGGGCAAGGACCTCATTGGGGTTGGCCTAGTAAGGGTCTTTGAAATGCATTTTTGTGTCAAAAAACAAAACAAAACCTGAATTGTGACACATTCAGGGGAGGGTAGTTGAAAATGTTTTGGCCTGTGTTATGTGAAGGTTCAGAGAAGCTGTGAGTAGGAGTAAGTGCTGAGATGATTTTGAGTCAAGGTGCCATGTGTCTCCTGGAATGACAGACAAGCTATGGAGTAGACCAAATGGAGAAGCGCGCCAATTTCTACTACTTTTGGAAGGTCCATGCCTCCCCCAAAGCCCCCACAGTGTTGACCTAGCAAAGGCAGCACATCTCCAAGGTGGTCTACCCAACGTCCTCTAATGCCACGTGAGAAGGACCAAAGAGGTCAGTGCTGAGAGTTCGTAGCAGCCTCTTGCAGCAAACCAAGAAACAATGATATTTAAAAGCAGCTATTATTATGGAATTTCTACTATGTTCCAGGAAATGTGCTAGAAATCAAACATTGATTTTTCACAACTACTTGTGAGAGAGGCATTTTTATCTCTACTTAATTAGGTGAGGAAACTGAGGCTAAGAGAATGTAAGCAGCTTAACCATGGCCACTGTGCTACTTGGCACTCTTTGATTGCGAGTACTAGAACACTACTCAGGTTAGTAGTAAACAAAAAGCAGGAGTTATTTGATGAAAATACTGAAGTGTTTTTGGAACTCTAGGGCAGGAATGTAGGTGGCCTGTGGCACAAAAAGCAGGGGTCATTTGATGAAAATACTGAAGTGTTTCTGGAACTTTAGGGCAGGAATGTAGGTGGCCTGTGGCAGCGCTGGGTCTCCAATCTGGGCTCTGTTGGACCAGCAAGGCTCTCTCTGTCCATCTGTCCCCACCTCTTTCTCAGCCAGCCTCACAGGATCTCTGCAGCATGGCGTCCTGCTCGCTGGTCTACTCTGTGTGGTAGGACAGTCCCCGCTCCCCAGCACACAGCCTGTCACTGTGCAGCCAGAGGGGGAGTCACGTCTTATTTCTTTCCCTGACTCTCACTCTCCCCTCTCCCCTCCTCTGCCTCTCTCTGCTCAGAGCTCCCAGGGAAGCGACTGTGATGGGATAAGGGGCCACACGCCTCCCTTCACAACACAGGTCTTCCTGAAAGGAGCATGGTTACCACTGTGTGGTGCCTTTTCCTGTAACAACAGCTTCTTTAGACTGGAGAAAAATAATGAAGGAGATAATGGATCATCAGCTGTTTGTTTATCTCTTGGATAGCGAGTTTTGTTTTGGGAACTAGGAGATATGGTGGTCCTGTGGGAAGACGCGTAGGCAGGCGGTCAGAGACCTTGGTGTCTAGTTCTTCAGGAACCTGGGCAGGATTCTCAGCCTTGCTCTGCTTCAGTTTTCCCATCTGTTCTATGGGCTAATATCTCCCTGCCTCCCTCAGAGGTGTACAGTGATACCCAATGTTAGCAGAGTTGTGTAACTTTGAAAACATTAAAACACAAGGTGACTCTATAATTATATTGAGACTGCTAATATTACTGCTATCTAAACTGTAACAGGGGTGATTAGTAACAAAGAAATAATTTCTCTTTACAGTGAGTGTGGATAAATAATGAACCCAGGCCACTGAGGAGATGATAGGACTCTGTTTCCTTGAGGCCTCAGGGATAGGTGTCTGGGGTGACCCCAGAGGTGGCCTGGACCATGGCCTGGGGAGGCTCTGAAGGACCAGCCCATCTTGAGGACTGTTTCTTGATGGTTAAAGTTGAATGTTCTCTTGCTGAGAACTGGTGCTTAAGTCTCTTTAACTCGATCTGTGACATCTTCATTGCACTCTGTGAAGCTTCTAGCATTTAAGATTAAGTATGTAGTTAATTGTATTGGCAGTAACAGGCTAACGTTTATGGGGCACCTACCGTGTGCATCAGTCCTTTCTCTCATCCCCGAACGTGAGTGGTCTCGTTTACTCCTGCCAACAACACTATGCAGCATATACTTTTACCCCCATTTAACAGGCGATGAATATAAGCTTCTCAAGCCTCACTATGCATCAGCATCCCCTGGGGGGCCTGTTAAAACAGAGTGCTGGGACTGCTCCCAGAGTTTCTGAGTCAGTAGGGCTCGGGTGGGGCCTGATAATTTGCATTTCTGGCAAGTTCCCAGGTGGTGTCTGTGCTACTGGCCTGGGGACCACACTTTGAGATCCACTGGCTTAGAAGTCCTGGGTAATTTATTCAGGGTCACAATGCTAGTGAGTGGAAAAGCTAGGACTCAAACCAGCTGTGTGGGATTCTAACATCTGTGTTTTTAATTACTTGACCTTACTGCCTTTACCCAGAATTTGATCTGGTACAAACGGATACAGAGCAATTTAAGTTTGCTGTTCCTGACAATATAAATGGCTTTTGGTCCTGCCTGTCTTTCTTCTTCCCAGTAAGGCAACTGGTTTTCCTAAAAGGAAGGATGGGTGGCTTCTTGCTCTCACTTTGATGGCGGGAACAGTTTCATGTATTTATGTATGTGTTTATTTAATTATTAATTTAGGAGGTACAAGTGTTTTTTCTTGTACTTAAATCATAGTCTCAAGGCCAGGGAGGCGGAGGAGTTCCCCGAGGCTGAGGCCATTCTGCAGTTTAACAGGCGACTGCAGGTGCCACAGCTCTGGTCTGACCACCCTCACCCACCTGCCTGCTGTGTGTGTGTGAGTATTGAGGGTGGTAATAGTACTGAAATACTGGAAAGATTGTAGAAATGGCAGAGAACAAGGACTCTAAAGACACTGTGCTTTTATTTATAAAGAGTTTTTGTGTGCTTTGTTGCAGATTAAAGGCCTACCTGAAGGTTTTGCGCATCCCAAAATAGGATCTAATTATTCAGTGAAGACTGTAGAGAAGACGTGGAAAGCTCTGCAGGACTTCAAGGAGGGCAATGCCGTCTTTACCTTCCCAAATACTCCGGTGAAGTGTGCTGGAGCCCCCCAGAAGATCATGTATTTAGCGGAAGCCTATTTCAGGAAGGTATGCTTCCTTTCCAGGGACAGAGATGAGGAGGGCAGATGGTGCTAACTCAGTGATTGCCAGAATTCTATTTTTATTCCTATCATAATACCTTTTTTATTTCTAAATTTTTATTACATATGTAACAAAATTGTATAATTGGAAGGAGGAGGTCACTCGTGATCTAATTGCTATAATAAAGCTGCTGTCATCAGTTTGATGTTTTCTAGTTTTTTCTATATACTTTTTAAAAAATGTGGTTAAAATCATACTGTACATACAAATTTAGATGTATTACATACTACATACTAATAGTCTTCATAACATATTTTTAAATATGCGAGTAAAAGTCTACTGGGAGATATGTTAGAGATTATTTAAATTTCCATATAGTTAGACTAAAAAAATTATTCATTTTTATACATAATTCTATCCTCAAGTTCCACTGAAGTTCAAGGTCATGAATATTTTCTGGCTTTTAATACACATTTTTTGCGAATAGGCAAAATGCCAATTTTAAAAGTAAAAGCCAGGCATGGTGGCTTATGCCTGTAATCCTAGCTCTTTGGGAGGGCCAAGGTGCTTAAAGTCAGGAGTTTGAGACCAGCCTGAGCAACAACATAGACCCTATCTCTACAAAAAAATAAAAAATAAAAAAATAAAAATAAAAAAATTAGCTGAGTGTGGTGGCCCACACCTGTAGTGCTAGTTAGCTGAGAGGCTGAGGTGGGAGGATCGCTTAAGCCTGGAAGTTTGGGGTCGCAGTGAGCTATGATGATGCCACTGTGTTCTAGCCTGGGCAACAGAGTGAGACCCTGTCTCAAAAAAAAAAAAAAAAAAAAAAAAAGGTGGTTTGCTTGGATGTCCTCTGAAACAAAACAAAACAAAACAACGCAAAAAAGTGTTCACGCAGAACTTCAGACCTTTGTAGAAAGATATTTGGTCAGGGAAGACTTTCCCAGTATTCTCCAAACATGCTCTGTGTAAGAACAGGTGTCTGCAGCTAAGTATACCTGGCTTGAGGTTGTGGGGGAAGCTGTTCTTTCTCCCCATCCCTTGTCTGGGATGTGACATTTGGTTTACCAAAGTGGAGTTTGACTTGAGGCAGTGGCAGGATTCAAAGCAGCCTGTGGTCCTGTGTGGGGACAGACGGGGAGACCAACTGGGGAAGACGGGACTGGAGAGTTGTTGAACGTGTGCTTGGAACCCGGCACTGGGCAAGGCCTCCACCTGAGTTCTGTGAACTGCAACTCCCCTGGGGGTGGGGTTAAGGGACAGTTTCCAGCAATCATTTCTGATTCTGAGAAACTTCTGGGTTGTAAGGGGTTGGCACAACCTTTAGAGGTTCTTACCCATCTAACTTCTTCAAATGGTGAGATCCAGGTGAGCAAGTCCTAAAGAGGAGCTGAACAAAGGAAAGAGTAAGAGACCAGTTCTTTCTTCCATCCTGGAAATTCCCTTTGCATAACTCTTTTCTCCCAAATGTTGGATGGCCCGAGAGGAAGTTTCCTGTCAGGTGCAATGACAGCTTCTCTGAAACATGAACGGGGAGCAGAAACTTTGTTTTGTTCACTGTTGCTCCCTCAGCACCTAGAACGGTACCTGGCCAACCCTAGGACTTGCTTAAATATTTACCGATTGAATGAATACATGAGTAAACAACTTGGCTCTATTCTGTCTTTACCTGGACTTGACTGTCCCTTTACTCTTCAGTTGAACGGTGCCCACTTTGACCTCCAGCTCAAGAGTGTGTCCCGGGCAGAAAATAAAGAGGCAGTGAACTGGTCAACCTGTCATCCCCCCGGGTATAGTGATGGGAACAGCTGGCAAGGTCTCTTCTGAGGGTTTTAATGCTTGTCTAGGTTAAAAAAAAAAAAAGTAATGTTTGGTGTTGGTTGTTTTCTTCTTTCCTGTTTCTTAGGTGGGGAAGCGATCCAAGGCCAATATCATTTTCAACACTTCTCTTGGAGGAATTTTTGGGGTTAAGAAGTACGCAGATGCCCTGCTGGAGATCATCAAGGAGAGGAACATCACTGTTAACTACAAGCAAAATCTCATTGAAGTCCGAGCTGATAAACAAGAGGCTGTTTTTGAGAACCTGGATAAACCTGGAGAGACCCACGTGATTTCAGTGAGTGGCAACGTTAAGCTGTTAGCATTGTCTGCTGAACCGCACTGTGGATGCGGTAACACCCTGCGGCTTCCGCCTCTCTGTCAACCGTGATTGTGTGCTGGGGAAGTTGGATAAAATGAGCATCCTGGGGAAGTGATGGGCGAGAGGGTGGACAAAAATGGGCGAGGAAAAGAAAGCTGTAAGAGGCTTTGTCAGTGGGAGGTGAGAAGGGCTTATATACTGGTGTCAAGTGAATTTTTGTCCCATTCTTTTGCCTTTACTTTCCTGGCACCAAGTCATTTGAAGGAGCCAAAAATATTCCACAACTTCAGTTACTGCATAGAGTTAAAGGAGGGCTTTCTCAAATGCGGGATCTGGTGATTGTCTCAGTTTGTGGCATGTGAGAAACAGTCCTGCTCATGAGCAGGAAGCAACCCTGAGGGTAGTTCAAGAATGACAGGGATGCCTTTCACCTGTGCAAGAGGCTGTCTCTAAACATCTTTCCCTTGTGCATCAAAGGAAGCACTTAAAAATCCTTCTGGAAGGGTTTGGAAGAGCTACCACCCTTGGAAAGATCTAGCTGTTGTTGTGAGGGCATGGCCTTTATGTGTCTCAGTTTCTTCTGTGCCATGGGAATCGTACTTTGGTGGAGGCATGGTGAGGATTAAGAACAGGATGGAAAGATGTCTGAAAGGCATGTGGAGAAGCAGGCATGGAAGAATATTTGTCTACATCAACCTGGCAAGAGCAGTTAGCAACGAGAAAGCATTCACAGCCACGTTTTATTCATTTGGCATTTTTCAAAAAATGAAGGGTTCCATAAAAAGGAATTTTGATGTGAACCAAAGATTAGTCTTCTAAACATCAAAACTTGAAATGTTAGGCCTTTTAGCTCAACTCTTTCTAAAAAGTATTACACCTACCTATCCTTTTAAAAATGGAATATATTGAATATATTGAATATTTAATATGTTACTGATGACTCAGGGTCATATTTTTTAAAAACTTTTATTTGGAAATAATCTCAAACTTGGAGAAGTTGCAAAAAAAAAATAGTACAAAGCAAATTGAATATAGCTTTTACCTAGATTCACTTATAGGATTTTACCCTATTTGCTTCAGTTTTATCATTTTCTCTCTCTCCGTCTCTCTCTCTGTCTCTCTCTTTAATTTTCCCAAAGGTAAGTTACATACACCATACATCATGTCCCTTTACCCCTAAATATTAATACTTTATTGTAAATTTCCTATGATAGGAGTATTCTCTTACATAACCCCAGAACAGTTATCAACCTAGTAAATTTAGGACAGATACAATATTTTAATCTTCTATTTGTATTCCAATTTTGTTGATTGACCCAGCAGCATTTACGGCATTTTCTCCTGTAGTACAGGACTGTAGACTGTAGTACAGGACCCAATCTACAGTCAGGAATTGCATTCAATTGTAACGTCTCTTTAGCCTCCTTTAATCTGGGACATTTCCACAGCCTTTCTTCGTCTTCTATGACACTTAATTTTGGAATAATAGAGCCCTCCTCCCTCCGCTTTTTTTTTCCTAGTAGAATGTTCCTCATTTTGGGCTTATCTGTGTTTTCTTGTGATTAGTTTGAGGCCCTGCTTTTTAGACTGGAACACTGCCTGAGCAATGTTGTATCCTTCTAGGGTATCACATTTGCAAGTACACAATGTTCATCTGCCCTTAATTGATGATGTTAATTTTGATAGCCAGTCAAGATATGGTCCAATTTTTCCTCCAAATAATTATAAATACTATTATTTTTCTCCCTTGCTACTAATAAGTTTGTGGGGAGACATTTTAAGAGCAATGTTGTATCCTTCTAGGGTATCACATTTGCAAGTACACAATGTTCATCTGCCCTTAATTGATGATGTTAATTTTGATAGCCAGTCAAGATATGGTCCAATTTTTCCACCAAATAATTATAAATACTATTATTTTTCTCCCTTGCTACTAATAAGTTTGTGGGGAGACATTTTAAGACCATGCAAAGAGTCAACTCATTAAAGTCTCCCCTAGAGTTAGAATCTATTGATGATTCTTGGCTAATCTAATCTTTACTATGGTGGTTGCAAAATGATGATTTTCTAACTCTAGCATTTCTTCCACATTTACCTGTAGGCTCTTGGCATTCTGTCAGCAATAGCCTTTCTTTTTCTTTTAATTAATTATTGGTATGAGTGCATGAATCCCTATTTTTTCCCCAATGGTTTATCATTCATTACTGTTCTTAATTATTTTGGTGCTCAAGTTGTCCTGGATTTGGTCAGTAGGTGACCCTCCCAGCTGGCTCCTGTGCCCCTGTGACATGCCCATCACCTGTTTGAGCACTTCCTTCCTTTCTGGTGTCACAGGATGTCCCAGGCTCATCTGATATCTACCTGCCCCGGCTCAGGTTCATCATTTTGAATAGCTCCTCTATGGGCATATGCTCAGAGCCTGCTGGGTTGTTTAGGGCTAGTTACCACTTTACCGAAGGGTCTCAAATTACTCTGTTCTTTATTTTTATGCATGTCCTTTTTGTAGTTGTTCAGTTTTCCTTTTTCCTGGCTGTCGGGCAGATGTAAGTGACTTTGGAAGGTCCCTACAGCTTCAGCTGTCTTAAATTGCTGCTCCTTATTTTTTATTTGTTGGAAAATGAGAGCCAAACTTGCTAAATTTTGTGTAAAGCAAAAGCAAATGAGCTATGAGTGAGGGCCCAACGCATACTTTTTTGAGCAAAGTGTGTGAGCTTCGGTGTGTGAACTTAACTTTGTTGTTTGGGTTTTATTTACTTGGTTTCTCAGCTGTGCTCTGGATAGTTGAGGTTGCAGGTAGGACGTGGATAAATGAATGGTTATTTTTCTTCTACGGGGTTTGTAAAGAAAGAAGATGTGTGTCTCCTTTGAATTATAGGGTTTCAAGTCAGGTATTCTTTCAATTCCACTCTTAAAATCCGAATTTTAAAGAATCTGCCAGAAGGATTTAAAACAGTCGCTCTCAATCCTGGCTGTACATTGGAATCACCTGGGGAGCTTTTAAAATGTGCTCATGCTGGGTCTCACCCCCAGGGGTTTTGAGTAGTTAGTCTGGGGTGTGGACCAAGGATAGGGAGTTTCACAAATTCCCTAATGACTCTAATGTTTAACTAGGGTTGAGAATAACTGCTATGAAGAATTAAATGTACCCCAAAGTCTATCATCTTGGATCCTTAATAGAGAGCTTATACAGTGAGCTGATCCAAGTCTCCTAAATTTTGAAAAGTCTAAACTTGTTTAATACCATAGAGTCCTAGAGCTAGAAGAAACTGGAGATTATGTAGTCTATTGCAATCTTTATGGACAAGCTAATCAAAGACCTGAGAGGTGAAGTGACTTGTCTAAGTAATAGCATTCTATATTTCATTGTAAATGAACCTGTTCCTTCAAGCCAGAGCTCCTAAGAATGGGATGCACAAGTTTCATGTGTCAGAATCACTAGCAGATTTTGTTAAGATAGAGATGCCTGTGCTTCACCCAGATCTACTAGATCTTGGGGTGGTGGGGCCCAGGAAGCTGTGTTTTCCACAAGTCTCCCAAATGCTGCTTGTGAACACTAAAGTTTGAAAATCACTACTCTGCATGAATTATTTATGTTAATGAAGGAGAACCAAATCATTTATCATATATGGTTTGTAGCAATAAATAATAAAGAACAAGCTACAACTAAGTGCTAGTATTAATTTTTAATAAATCCATAAAGCAGACCCTAGTATTTATTTTGTGTAGGATGTTAGCTCAGGTAAAAAACTCCATGCTTTATAATGATTATGTGAAAATATTAAATGTTCCCTCTGGAAAAGATGTGTGGAATTCATGTGTACCTGTGAAATTCAATTGTGCACATTAACTCTATCAGATAGAGATGACTCTAGTAAGGTTTTGAACTCAGTTAAAAAAAAAAAAGTCCCAGTTGACTGCAGAAATACTTTGGCAGATGATGGTTGTTGACCATTTTCTTCATCATCCTGCAGACAGACATGTGTTTGGTCTCAGCATTCTCTAACAGACCTGGTCTCAGAGACCCATGTCCCCAAAGAGCCTCCTAAGATTATCCTGTAGAGGAGCATCAACCATTTGCAGTGCTCCTTCCTTAAAGTTAATTAAGCTTACAATTATCTGAGAGTTGGAATAAATACAAGTCATCTTCCTAATTCCCATTGCCATCAGTGATTGCTGAGCCTGGGTGAGGGCATGGCCCTCCTTATGGAAACAAGGGGCTATCGACTATCACAAAGTTGAAATGGTCTTAAAATGCTAAAGTTTTTACCCTAATGAAATGTTATATTAACGTTAGAATCAATGTGTCCTCCAGTGGACACACTAGCAAATTGAAGTTGTTAGATGGATTTCATTAAAAATAAAAAGAATGAACTACAAAAAGCAGAATAATATTATATAAACAAACAAAAAGGCTAAATGAGCCTTCATAAATGATTAGTATGGGTAAGTGCACTATTACCAAGGGTAACTTCCATATGGTGTTTTTGGAAAAAAAAGAAAAAAATCCACCCCACCTATTTACTACTCAGTAAACCTAGTACTGAATCAGACTCCTCTCTCCTTTTCCAAAGTACTAGCTAGCATACCTATCACCCCCTTTTTTATCTTAAATTGGTGTTTTGACAGTTTCCTTTATGTGTTTTGAGAGTTGACCCACGTTTGGGAATGAATACTCACTTACCATCTCCTAACAGGCTTTACAAGTTTCAGGGATGCTGAGCACCTCCTTACAGAATATAAGTAAAGTACCAGACTTTACAAGTTGATAGTGGAGGGTCAGGGAGACAGCAACTGAAATACACCACCCCCTTATTTTAGTATTAATAGGCACATCAGTGGATTCTTTCAGAATATTAATGAGCTTTACTTCACTATCTCAGATTTCCCTAGGCCTACTGCCGCAGGGATCACGTGGCCACTGTATGGCAAGATCACTGAAAGAATGGTTATTTAGTTTACCACCATCCTCCATGGGAACATGTAAGATCTTGGAGAGGAGGTGGATTGATGTAAGCACTGATTGTATAATACTCAAGGAGTCATAGTACAGTGTGTGGAGTAAGGAAGGTAGGGGGAGAGCTTGCGGGCTGTAAAAATATTGAAAAAATACAAACATGGATGTTTTCCTTTTGTGTAGTATGGAATGCTTCATGTCACACCACCAATGAGTCCACCAGATGTCCTCAAGACCAGTCCTGTAGCTGATGCTGGTGGCTGGGTGGATGTGGATAAAGAAACCCTGCAGCACAAGAGGTACCCAAATGTGTTTGGGATTGGGGACTGCACCAACCTGCCTACGTCAAAGACCGCTGCTGCAGTAGGTAAGACAACAGCTCTGTTTATCTTGCTCTCAGAATGATGAGGCAGCATCATAACGAAAACAAGAGTTTGGCATCAACAGCATTCCATTACTAATGAAGAAACTGTTGTGGCCTAAAACTGACTTTGACCTCCCTGAGACCGAAGCAAGTTGTCAATGGACCTAGTGTTGTATAAAGAAGAAAGTATTCATACTTTTTGTGTGCTTTTCCCCAGAGTAGCATGATCTGATCTGCCTTTTCTAGGTCAGAGGGGTTGTTTTCAGAAGAGGCATTGTGAGAAGGCAGCACTTTTCCAGCTCTCTGGAATTCTGTTACTTCTCATACTGCCATGCTGGCATCCCTGGTATTCCTTACCTCTGATGCCAGACAGCTTGGCTGTTTTTCTTCCATCTGAAATACCATAAAGTTGGGGAAGCATTTGTTTTCTCAGAAAACACATGCAAGTCAATGAAAGCTTGCAGACCAGAAAATTGTTCTGTTAAGACAAATATAGTGGCGCGTGCCCTGATTGGTACACGATTAAGGCCTCAGCCTGGAAAACTAAATTCTTCACTTGGATGTTCTGCACCAGCAGTGATGGGGAGAATTGCCTTTTAGATTCTGTCTTCCACAGACAGGAACTGTCTTCTCTGGATGATATAAAACACAGACCTCCCTTCTGCTGGGTATGGTAGTGTTTTGTGTGAATTAGACACCCGTGGAACATGATGTGTTACTTTTGCCAACTATTTCAACCTTAGTAAAGACTTTCTAGGAAAACCACTGAATGTCTTTTTTTTATTATTAATAGTAATTTCCTTGTAACTTTTTATTTCAAAAATCTCAAACCTATGAAAAATTTGAAAGTACAATAGATACTCATATACCCTTCAGGTATTAACCAATTATTAATATTTTCTGAAATTTGCTTCATCATTTTACATTTTTTTGCTGAGTCATTTGAAAGTAAGTTTAGACATCATGATATTTTACCTTAAATACTTCAACCTGCATCTCCTAAGAGAAAAGACATTTATCTCCATATCTATAAGACTGTTATCATGCCCAAGAAATTTAACGTTGTATATTAAAATCATCTCCCTATACAATCCAGTTATAGATTTTTCCAAAGCTAGAATTTCTCTAGTTTTCCTAAAAATGTCCTTCATAGCTCTTCCCTCCCATTAATTCTACTTGCCAGTGAAGGTCCACACACTGCCTAGGTTGTCATATCTCTTTGGTCTCCTTTAATCTAAAACAGGCCTTCTAATGTTTGTTTTTTCACTTTCATGACACTGGCATTTTTAAAGAGTCTAGGCCAGTTATCTCGTAGAATATCCCACAGTTTAGAAGTTTCCAGTTGCTTTCCTTTGGTTAGATTCAGGTTGTCTGTTCCGGCAGGAATCTCAGTGCACGAGGTTGTGTACCTCTCTCTCTGCGGCGCCTCAGGAGCCTATCATGTTGTCAGTTTGCTTTGTCTTTGGCGAAGCTAGATTTCATCACTGGGTTAAGGGGTGTCCATTGATATTTTTTCCATTGTAAAAGCACCTTTTCTATTTGTAATTTTATAAGTAGTCTGTGGGGTGATACTTCGAATTTCCATTCACTTAGTGTAAGCCTGCTGAATTTATAGGGTGAGAATACCTGTGATGCGAGGCCCAGATTACCCGGCTTTTAGCCTACTTCAAACAGACATTTAATTCAATGTTTCAAATAGATAATATTAAATATGATTAAATAAAAGTTTATGTGAAAAGTCTCACTCCCAGTCCTGCCTTCCCTCTGCTTGGCTTCTGCATTCCCCCAACCGCAGAGGGGAGTCCCCATGGTTTTTACTTCTGTTTTTTACAGTCTGTGTTCTATTGTACGGTTGCTCCAGAACTTATTCAACGAGCCCACTCTTAATTTATATTTGGGTTGGTTCCAGTCCGTTTTTATTTCAAACATAGTAGTGAATGCTTTTCTTTATATGTTATTTCACACGTGCGAAAGTCTTTTTGCTCTTCTTGTCAATGTCTAAATAACGATAGTTCTAGCTTTTCCCAAGTAGATCTGCATTTCTTCTTAGATTCCACTCCCCAAATCCTCTGAGTGTCCCAAGGCAAGGGGATACCTGTTCCACACGTCCGTGCTTGGGTTTACTTGCCATCCAGCCTGTCCAGGCCACTACACTATCATGAGTGAGACCCTGTCCTGCCCTATTCCTGAGGCTCATGCCTCTTCCTCTGCTTCTCTCTGCCCCAGATTCTCCTTTAATTACTCACAGCACAGCCAAGACTATTAAATGTGGCATTTAATAAAAGTTAACTGAAGGCTTGGGAGTGACAGAAGGGGATTGTAATACAGGAAGAAAACAGAGCTCTCGTATGCCCGCACACACACGCATTTTAACCTGGGCATTGCTTGTGACTGCTTCCTGGGTCCGCAGGCTGGACCTCTGTGCTGGACCCACCGGACACCTTCTCTCCTTTTCTACCAGCCTTGATGCTGGCTGCAGGGGCAGCCTCAGGTGTTCTCAGCACAGCTCCAAACTCCGTTATGGTCTTCAAAGAGGAACGAAGTTTTCCAAAAGGGAAACATGATCTTTAGAGATGTCGCTTTGCCCACAATGAAGATAGCCATGTAATATTTTTAAGCAGCGTTGTTTACTCCTTATTTTTTTGAACTCTCTCATTCTGGAAAAAACCTCATTGCTTTTTAATTTGGGTGCCAGCAAACTACAGCTTGTGGGCCAAATGCAGCCCACTGCCTGTTTTTATACAGCTGGCTAAGAATGGTTTCTACAGGTGAACATTTACAAGCGATTTGATGATAGGGAATAGTAACTCTTTTTCTCATTCTAAGAAAAAGAATTCCATTCCTCTTATTAGCAGCGATATATTACAAAAAATGATTATTACATTTTGGATTTTATCAATATTTTCTGTGGAAATTTGTTTTTCTCTTGTTATATAATATCTTTGATTTTGCCTCTTGGCTTGCAAGACCTAAAATTTTTCTTTACAGAAAAATTTATTAACTCCTGATTTGAGGGATTACAAAATAACCACTGTAATGAGCATTTTACAATGTAAAGGTAACCCATCTTTTCTCAAAAGTAAATCCTGTGTTCTACCTCTAGAGATACAAACTGCTTGTATCTTTAAAAAGAGAAGTCTTAATTATTCAAAATTGAATACAAACTAGGACTAGATGATATTGAAGAATTATTGCTGATATTTTGAGGTGTAAAATGTATTGTGTTTATGTTAAAAAAAATTCCCCATCCATCAGAGATGCACACAGAAAGACTTAGGGGTAAATTTGTGTTGTGTCTGTTCTAAAAATATACCATGTGTGATGGGATGGACGAAACAAGAACCATGGAGTTTAAACATTTTCATAATAAAAAAAGGAAGTCTCCCCACTATTGCCATCAAAAACCAAAAATATATATACAGTTGTCTCTCAGTATCTGTGGGGGGTTGGTTCCAGGACCCCCTGGCAGATGCCAAAATTCGTGGATGTTCAAGTCCCTGATAAAATGGCATAGTATTTGTATATAACCTATGCACATCCTCCCATATACTTTAAATCATCTCTAGATTTCTTATAATATCTAATACAATATAAATATTATATAAAGAGTTGTTTTACTATATTGTTTAGGGGATAATGATAAGAAAAAAAGTTTGTACATGTTCAGTACAGATGCAATTTTTTTTCTGAATATTTTTGATCTGTGGTTGGTTGAATGAATCCACAGATGCAGAGCCCATATATACTGAGAGCCAACTCTGTGTGTGTGTGTGTGTGTGTGTGTGTGTGTGTGTGTGTGTGTATGTGTATATGTTTGGTGGGGAGGGAGAGGGAAAGAGAGAGAGAGAGAGAGAGAGAGAGAGACATATATATATCGATCTGGTCCAGCCTTAGCCAAGGCAGTCCAGTAGAGAGAAAAGCCCAATGTTTTGCCTAATTGGATATATGCCTGGGGCTACCAATCCAGGCTGTCTGTGAACAGGGACATAGGGATATCCTGATGGCCAAGGGACATTGGGCACATAGACCCCAGGAGGAGGAGCAGCAGGGTTGGGGTTGGGCCATCTTTACAGCCCTGCTGGAGAGAGCTGGCTCTTTAGTTTTAAGCCCATGGAGACATCTATGTAGGCCTTTGATCAATCAAAGACCCCCATCTGGTAGTCAGAACTTTAAGAAGGTTGTGCTCTATTCATAGTTTAGAGGGATGGGGAATGGAATCTTTTTAACTTATTTACATTCAAGTTATTTGCAAATTTGTTTTCATAGAGACTATTTTTCTGACTTTTCTATTTCTCTTATAGCTGCTCAGTCAGGGATACTTGATAAAACAATTTCTCTGATTATGAAGAATCAAACACCAAAGAATAAGGTTTGTATACCTTGTAAGAATCACTGTCTCAATTATCATATTCCGTTCTGCATGAAAGCAGTGTTTTCCCACAATTTTGCCACTTTCTTAATTAGTTTCTCTAACATGGGCTCTGCAGTTTTTGCCTTTAATACAATTTTTTGTTATATAACTTATGTTTTTCACAGTCTAAAAATTAGAATATTCAAAAAAAGAAAAGAAAAAAATTGCAACCACTCAGAGAAAATAATAATTTCTAGAGTGTCTATATCAGACCATGAAAAAAACCTACTTTCCAACTCAGTCTCATTTATATTTTTAGTATAATGGTTACACATCGTGTCCACTGGTGACCAGCTACAACCGCGTGATTCTTGCGGAGTTTGACTACAACGCTCAGCCGCTAGAAACCTTCCCCTTTGATCAGAGCAAAGAGCGACTTACCATGTACCTCATGAAAGCTGACCTGATGCCTTTCCTGTACTGGAATATGATGCTAAGGTGAGTGCACTGCTTGGATCCTGGGAGAGGAGAGAGATCTGTAGCACTTCTACTACCCCACAGGGGGTGCAGCCACTTCACTACTGGCAGTGACCGAGTCTTCTGTCTTCCACGCTCTGGCCTTCTTTTGTTGCTGGACGTGTAATAATGATAGTAAATCACTTTCACATGTCAAGTATTTCCTTATCTGCTATTTTACTTTGTTTTTATTATGTTGTAGGAAAAATAAAACAGTGATTAAGAGCATAGACTTCGGAGTCAGACCTGTATTTCAGTCATGCTTTTGCCATTTACTGGCTGTGTGTCTTAGGGAAAGTTGTTTGAACTCTCTGTGTCTAAGTTTCTTAGCTGCAAAATGAAAATAACATTTCTTACCTCACAAGATGGAGATTAATGATGGGGTACATAGTAGGTGTCTAATAAGTAAACAGAATAATAAAAAGTAATAATTCCTCTTCCTTGTTCCCAAAAATGATGATCTTATTTGACCTTTCTAAACCTATGTGAGATAGATAAGTTAGGATATCTATACCAGTGGTTCTCAACCAAGAGTGATTTTGCCCTGCAGGGGATGTTTGGTAATACCTGGAGACCTTCTTTGGTTGTCATAACTAGAGAGGTGCTACTGGCATCTAGGGAGCTGAGGCCAGGAACACTGCTAAAAATCTTACGATATGCAGGTCAATCCCCACCACAAAGAATTATCTGGTCCAAAATGTCAATAGGGCTGAGGTTGAGAAATCCTGATCTATAGTTAATTTATGAGCAAAGAAAGTAGGACGAATAGCAGTTTACATGTAGTAGATCTTCATACAGGTTAGCTAAATTCCATCAACATGTCCAGGGTCACACAGAAAGTCAGTGACAAAGCTAGGACTCGAAGCAGTTTGTCCCTTGTTAGTCATGGGATCTTCTTATCTAACTAGACAAATCTTGCTTCATGTGCTGATAAGCATGTTCTGTGAGCAGCCTGGCTTCCCCTTTAACATCCTGCTGGCTGAAGTCCCCCCATCTCTTTTGCTGCAAATATCTTTTCCATGTTATTTTTTCCAGGGGTTACTGGGGAGGACCAGCCTTTCTGCGGAAGTTGTTTCATCTGGGTATGAGTTAAGGATGGCTCAGCCCTTGCTCACCTTGGATGGCTTCTGGATCAAAATTACCATTACCGATTGACCAAGAGCAGCACAAAGGACTTGGAGCCTAACCCTATGAAGAGTTTCTTGCTGGATAATGGTGACCAAATGCCTCTGTTTTCAGTGCCTTTGACCAGCCACTGTGTGGGCTGCCTAGGATGGGTTGATTCTTTGGAAATAGTCAAATGAAAGAATAGACTTCTATTTTCTCAATAAAAGTTTGTCATCGACTGAGTTCCATGAGATAATTTTGTCTTGACTGGTAGGAATGAAAAGTTAAGTGCTTGGGAGAAAAAGATGGTGGTGGTGGGATAGTGTACTTGTCATCTACTGTGGGTATTCAGCTGGTAGCTGGCATAATTTCACAGAGCCTGTTTGGATTCACAGAAAAGAGTCATTCCAAGGACAATATTGTTCCAAACACAGTGCATGGTAGCCCTTCTGTGCTGCTTAGAATTCCTGCTGTAGAGCACAGTGGACTGAGAGCCCAGCTGCTACTCTTCTGGCTGCACCTGTTTGTGCTGTGGCCAGGCTTTCTCCCAGCCAGCAACTGAACATGGTGTACTAGCACTGTATTAGGAGGATCTTGAATAGTATGTATGGTACATAGTAAGTATTCAGTAAATATTTGTTGAGTAACTGAATGAATCAGCTAAATTTTGGTCATTGCCCACTCCCTATCTCAGGGAGTGGAGCTTGCTACCAAAAGAAGGAGATTGGTAGAAAAATGTTCTGAGAAGCCCTAAACCATTATTATATCTATGGTCATGAACCATAAGCAAGACTTAGCCAGGCAGAGGAGCAGGAGCTTCCTAGGCACAGGGAATAGAGTGTACAAAGGAGTAGAGGTGAGAGGATTTGGAAGCTATAGGTAATTTGGTATGGATAGACTATGGGACCACATGGAGACAGGCTGGGAGGTGGTCTTCTGAAGGCCCTTGGGCTGGATCTTTCCTGTAGTTTCTTCAACTCCACCTGCCACCCTCTGTACCCTGCCTTCTGCCCCAGGAGGTGGACAGGCAGGGTCTATATTGATTGTCTCTCCTGCTCTCTGGTTTCTGGTTGGATTGGCCAATGGAGAGTGCCACCAGGAGATGGGAGAGAGGGAGGAGAGTGAGGTTGGCCTGTCATTCCTCTAGCTCCCTCTCTGCAGGGTTGTCTTGGCCTCATGCTGAGGTAAGAACAGAAATTGAGGTATAAATTCATAAACTTACATAGCAATTTGATAGAGATTTTTATCTGTTGGATCTAATACAGGTTGAACACCCCTAATCTGAAAATCCCAAATCCTAAGTGCTCCAAAATTCAAAACTTTTTCAGGGCCAACATGACACCACAAGTGGAAAATTCCACTTCTGACCTCATGTGATGGAGTTGCAGTCAAAACATTGTTTTGTGCACAAAATTATTAAAAATATTGTATAAAATTACCTTCAGGCTATACATATAAGATGTATGTATAGAATGCAAATGAATTTCATGTTTAGACTTAGGTCCCATCCACAAGATACCTCATTATGCATAGGAGATGCAAATATTCCAAAATCTGAAAAAAATCTGAAATCCAAAACACTTTGGTCCCAAGCATTTTAGATAAAGGATAGTTAATTTGTAATGAAAAAAAATTGGGGCTTGTATTTTATGTGTTTTTTCTCATAATTTTTTTAAGTGTATTAATAATTTACCAAAGTACTAGTCTGAGGAGAATTAGATTTAAAAAACCCAAACAGAACAAAAACCCCAAATCTGGTCCTTCAGCACATTTCACTGGGGAAGCCTGGCTCTCATGACTCTTCTAGGCTGTGGTAGGCTCCTGGCTCGTATCCAAGCAGGGCTCACAGCGGGGAGAAGAGCTCCACTCCACGAAGCCTGCGCAAGCAACTGCACGGTGCCTGTGGTTCCCCTGAACCTGGGATTCGCATTTGTAAGTAAACCCATCTTTCAGTTATCCAAATTTGACTCTGTCATCTGCTTCCTGTTGGGACCCCAAGTGACACAAGATCACCTGAGAGTGACGTAGAACCACTGAGGAAGTTTACGGAGAAATGACAGGAGATCGTGGCAGCGAGGGTGAGGTATGGGTTGGGAAGGAGACTCCAGACAGTGACCGATGCCAGGGCCAGCTAACGTCAAGATGCAGAGGGCTTGAACTCAATGCAGCAGCACTAAGGGAAGGACAAAATTCATTGATCTTCAGGATATTATATGAGTCAGGAAAACAGAAACCACTATATGAATAGCTTAAGCAAAAAGGAATTAAATACTGCAGAGGGCGGCAAACTATGACCCGTGAGCCAAGTGCAGCCTGCTGTCTGTTTTTGTAAATAAAATTTTGTTGGAACATGGTCATGCCTGTTTGTTTCTGTGATGTTTTTGGGTGCTTTTGTACTACAAAGGCAGAGTTGAGCAGTTGTGACCATATGTGACCTGCAAAGCATCAAATATTTACTGTCTGGCCCTTTATAGAAAAAGTTTGCTGACTGCTGGAACACTGGGAAGTAGGTGCTTACAGTACTCCAGGGGAACAAGAATCATGGAAAACCACTGTTGATTTTCAGATCAGGGGGCTGCACAAATTGCAGGAATACTGGCCGCAGTGATCATGGCTGTTGGTCAGCCACATCAAAGTAGGCGATCGCAGGAGATAGCCTAGAAGCCTATGCTAGCCTCGTGTCCACAGATGCAGACACCCACCATTGCCAGAGGGGGAAGGGCTTCTCCTCTTCCACCTTCCCACCTGGCAGGAGTGTTCCTCATCGGCTGACTCTAAATGAAAATGATGTATTTTTCCAGATTTTCCTCTTGATACAGAAGCGAGTGTAGAAGGGACAGGGATAGGGAAGCCCAGGGCTTTGGGATGACTGGTGAGGACAGGGATTTGGAGGTTGGGATGACTTCCAGACTTGGATGATGATCATGAATTGTGCCACCCATGGAGAGGGAGAGGAGCAGAAAAGAGGAAGATTCTGCGCAGAAGGGGCCCTGTCAGAAGGTTAGATTCCCAAACTCCTGCCAACTGTGGAGTGGAGTCACAGCCATCTGCCCCAGGGGGGTTGTACTCAGATTTATTCATGGGGTAAAACCATAAAGTACTTTCGACATAAACAAAATTGGCATTCCAAGGCTGGAATTAACAGATCTTGCCATGGCTGATGATATCCAGCTTGTAAGCTAAAGCAGTTATAAATCTTCCTTTTTGTAGGTTTAAAGGAGACCTTCCAGGAATTGGAAAACATTGGCAATCTCTTTGGCCCGGGGGCCCTGTTGGCACGCACAGTCCTGTGAACGCCAGAGAGGCCTGAAGCGCAGTAACAAAGTGAGGAGATCTGTAAACTGGAGGGGGAGGTGGTGGGAGGCAGGGGTGGGCAGGAAGAGAGGGTGCACCTGAGGGTGGGCCTCAGCAGAGAGGTGAGAGGTCAGCTAACTCTGTGTGGGGGCGATGGGAGGATGTGGGGAAAGCGAAAGGGCACCGGGGCAACAAGTGCTGAGCAGCCCTGGGCCTCTGCCTCCACTTTGCTTGTCAGTCAGGGCTGCCCCTTCCTCCCAGGGTAGGCTCCCTGCCATTGACAGGGGACTATAGTCTGAAATTTAACATGACTGTGGCAGAAAATTCTCCCCCACCCAATATCCTTATCTGAGTAGAGATTCAAAGACCTGTTTGGTAATAGTCCAGCTCACAAATCTATCCTTGAATCCTACTAATCCACCTTATAGCCTACTAATTAGTGATTGTCTTCTAAATGAGGAATGCCTTCTAATGGTTTTTTATGTGCAAATACAATATTGCAGGTGCTTAAACATCAATAGCTGTAAAAACAACGTAGTAATTACTATAGACTGAATGTTTGTTCCCCGCCCCACATTCATATGTTGGAGTCCTCAGCTCCAATGTGGCTGGGTTTGGAGCTGAGGCCCTTGCAGAAGTAATTAAGGTTAAACGAGGCCATAGGGTAGGACCCTGATCCAATAGGATTAGTGTCCTTATAACAGAGATACCAGAGAGCTCTCTCTCTCTCTATGCCATGTGAGAACACAATAAGAAGGTGGCCGTCTGGAAACCAGGAAGAGGGCCCTTGTCAGAATTCGACCATGCTGGCACCCTGATCTTGGACTTTCAACCTCCAGAACTGTGAGAGAACAAATTTCTGTTGTTTAAGCCACCCAGGCTATGGTATTTTGTTATAGCAGCTTGAGCTGACTAAAATATTAATTGAATGGTTGTGGTTAAGACAAAACTTTTCTAGAATCCAATTTACAAATCCAGAAGAGGGTTGTCATTTATGACTAGGAATAATATGTTCATTGTCAAAAGGCCTGAAACATTTTCAATGTAATGTGACAAATGAGAAGTAGAATTGGGATTTGAACCTTCATCTGTCCTCACAATGTCTTGGGAAAATTGTTGATATCAGGATTACTTTGGAAGTTTTCGTCCAGTTCAGTATTGTACTATTTCTTCTTGGGGAGTAAAAGAAAAGGGAGAAATGTATTTGTCCAAATTCTTTCACTTGCCAAGTAGCAAAAAAATTAATTTATTGGCTTAAGTATCTAGGAAGTCTGGGAAGGAGATCAGGCATGGCTGAATTAAGAAGCTCAGTTTATTACTTTCTTGATCTTTCAGCTCTGTCTTTCTTTGTGTTGGTTTCTTTTATAGGTAGACTTACTTCACATGTTGACAAAGTGGGCCCCGAAAGGGTTAGACTTACCTGGACCTTAGAGCCCACAGTCCCAGAGACTGTGCCTCTTTTCTGTTACAGTATTAATAAAAATCTGGTGAAAACTTTGATGATACAAACTTGTGACTTCCCTGAACCAATCATGTGCCCATCCTTAGGGGAGAGGATTGAGTCAGCCTGGTGTGAGCCACATGGACTGAGAATGGGGGTTGGTGGTTCTTCAATGAGGTGCTGGGCTTAAAAACCTGTATTTGCTATAAGGATAGGAAGGTGAACACATCCTGTCTTCTCCAACATAAGTGTTCATTTATTCATTCATTCTACAATTGTGAATTGTATGGGGCCTGGTTGGCCGCTGGGGTTCCTCACGTGAATAATTCGAGCGCCAGCCTTGGAGAAGCTTCCCGTCTAAGGGAGCCCGAGTTCACAGAGAGTGTTCCCTGGGACACTGGCACAGCAACCTGCCGACCAGGAAGGAGAACCGCTGCTCTTCCAGGGAGGATAGGGTTTTGGCCTGTTGATGCCACGGCTTCCTGTGAGCTGATGCTGA